CGAAACAAGGCAAAACAAATACCGCCCACCGTGTCGTTATAACGACCAGGGAAACGAGAAGGGCCGTTGCTTGAAGTTGTAAACGACAGCGGCTGGAATTTTGCACGCCTTTTTCTCATCGAAAAGAATTCGGGCTTAAGTTTCTTGTTGTTCTTGTCTTTTGATGTTTCTGTCGTTCCACCACATTTTCACGAACAAAATCGCCTTACCAAGTTACAACTTTATGTAGCAAATGGAACTCCTATTCAAACTTTTGGTGAACGCCTGATATCTGTTGATCTAGGATTGCACCACAACTTCCAATGGCCATTCATTATTGCTACTGTTTCAAGTCCTATTATTGGCGCAGATTTTTTTCAAAAATTTCCTTTGCTTGCCGATCTTAAAAATCGCCGTTTGATAGATTCCACAACCAACTTAACTTATCCGGGAGTAATTCTCAATAGTCAAGATTTGAGCATTAAACTGATTTCGGGTAACTCCCCATGGCATCAACAAGCCGCCAAAGAGGAAATTCAATACATGATGGAACAGGGAATTTGCCGTCCTTCAAAAAGCTCTAGGGTCAGTCCGCTCCATCTAGTTCGGAAACGAAATGGTAACTGGCGCCCGTGTGGCAATTATCACCGGTTAAATGCAGCTACAATTACTGATCGTTACCCAATCCCTCACATTCAAGGGCTGTATGCAAGTTTTCGAGTGAAAAGCTATTTTTTCAGCCATTGATCTTAAGCAGGTGTATCGCAAAGTGCCCGTTAAGCCAGCTGATATTCCAAAAACTGCGGTTATTACGCCTTTTGGACTATTTGAGTTTCCGGTTATGACTTCGGCTTATGCAATGCTTCTCAAACATTCGAACGCTTCATGAACCAGGTGCTAAACGGCCTTGACTTTTGTGTACCTTATTTTGATGACGTCTTAATCGCCTCCTCTTCAGAGCAAGAACACCTTTCACGTTTGAGAACAGTTTTTGAACGTTTTCAAAGGTACGGTGTCAGTCTTAATCCTTCCAAATGCGTTTTTGGCCAGTCAAGAGTATCCTTTCTTGGTCATGAAATTTCCTCTGATGGCGTTCGACCCCTTCCAGATGGAGTCACCGCTATCCGCGATATGACCGAACCATCTACAGTGAAAACTTACGACTTAAGAAGATTTCTTGCTATGCTCAATTTTTATCGACGTTTCTTACCTCATGCAGCAACCATACAAGCACCTCTAAATTCCTTTTTGGTTGGAATCAAGAAAAACGATAAACGTGTTATAACCTGGACCGCAGAATCTCGCGAAGCGTTCCAAAAATGCAAAAATGATTTAATTTCGGCAACAAATTTGCAGTATCCTTCCGCATCTAAACCATTATCACTCTACGTTTATAAGGTGAGGGACTCCCGCTTTCCTAGCATGCTTTCGTGGTGTAGTGGTTCTACACGCTGGACCGGTACTCCAGAGGTCCGCGGTTCGATTCCCGGCGAAAGCGATTGCTATTTTTTCAATCTCTCTTGCTTCCAAATATCCTAATGTCTCTCTACAGTGGCGCCCTAAAATAAAAGGGGTGTTGAATGAGGATTCTCCACACCCAGGATTTGGCGATTGCGTCCCCTAAAAACCCCAGTCGCCCTTTAAAAAGGGAGTTTATAAGGTATTTCTCCCGCTTTCCTAGCGTGCCTTCGTGGTGTAGTGGTTCTGCACGCTGGGCCAGTACTCCAGAGGTCCGCGTTTCGATTCCCGGCGAAGGCGTTGCATATTTTTCATCTCTTCTGCTTCCAAAAAATAACCTAATATCTCTACACGTTGACAAATCAACGACAGGTATAGGAGCAGTTTTAAAACAAAAAGGTCAAGAATTATACCACTTATTTTTCTAAAAACCACAGTTTTTTAGAAAAATATAAACATATTTTTCTAAAAAACTCTCACTAGCACAAACCAGATACAGCACTTACGATCGCGAATTATTAGGAATTTATGAAGCTGTCAAATATTATCGGCATATGCTATAGGGACGCGTTTTCATGATCTTCACAGATCACAAACCCTTAATCTATACTTTTCAGCAGCGTTCGGATAAAGCTTCTCCTCGTCAAATGAGACACCTAGACTTTATAGGGCAATTTTCAACAGATAAATCCGTTATATTGCGGGTTCGCAGAATATTGTAGCAGACATCTTGTCTCGTATTGAAGAACTAGCCGTTCCCTCGCCAATAAACTTTGCTGCCCTTGCGGATGAACAGCACCGGGATTCAGAACTACAAACCCTCTTGAAAAGCAAATCTTCCACTAATCTCAACTTGCAGCCTATGCAGCTGTCACCTGGAAAATCACTTTATTGTGATGTTCAGGATTCAAGATTTCGACCTTATGTTCCCTCCGGTGTTTCGCCATGCCCTTTTTAGTCAGTTACATCGTCTGTCACATCCTGGCATCAAGGCTTCAAGGAAACTGATATAGCAACGTTTTCGTATGGAATAGCATGCAAAAGGACATAGCCAACTGGACACCATCATGCTTGGAGTGCCAAAGATCTAAAATTGTCAGACACACCACCAGCCAACTTAAAAATTTTAATTTGTCCTCATCTCGCTTCAATCACGTGCACCTCGACCTGGTCGAGCTCTTATATTTATTAATAATAATATAATACATGAATAAAATTAATTATTATGTATACATTTTTCTTACCTTGAAAATTTAGAAGCAAATTTATCATTTACTTCATCAAAGTCGATCCTTTCAAATTTTTCTCTTTCCACACTTAAAAATGCTAGATGACTTAGGGGATGTTGTCCCACCGTTGATTGTAAATATGTGAAAATTTATTTTAATTTGCTGAACGAACGTTCATAGTAAGTAGTATTTAAAGTGCGACTCTTAGGTTTGGAAAAACATATTCTCTATAGATCTGCAGTGGAGTTTTAGGTTCTGTTTCTTTTCTACTGCGGAGTAGTAACGTCATGCAGTCACATTCACTGCTCAAAACAATTAGGGTGTATTGTGGGTTCGGTATGAAATAACCATATAATCGATAACATTTTTGAACAAAAGAAAATAGAAGAGATTATAAAGGAAAATTATAACGTTTGCAAAGTTGGGAATATGCAAATTTAGTCTGTGACGTCGAAAACTATGCGTTTTAGATAAGGAGTAAGGAACGACCTGCAGTATTCCCTTTTTGTAATAGAAGATTAAAAACAATTCACATGCGTTGAATGCTTCGTAGCAGTGAATATACGACGTCTCAGCAAGATGACTTAGTTTGAATCAGGTAGCCAGGAAGGCCATCAGCCGTTTACAGGAGAGTCAAACGCAATCCATTGTAGCGGAAGCGTTCGAGTTTCAAAAAATGTCATTTCCAGATTATGGAATCGGATTTTGGAAACTGGATATATTTGAGAAATTCGGGACAAGGTCCTGTTATCGTTTTAAAATAAAAAGCGGGAGATATACGTGCATTTCGTTTAAATATATATCTCTACTTTGGAGAAATAAAGTGGTCAGAAAGAACGTTTTGGCTGATGTACTGCAAGCATTTTATTACACAAATCAAGAAAATAAAATAATTAATTATATTACAATAGTTATTAATTTTAAATATATTTTCCAGAAATCGATCAAAATAAAAACTGAAATTTTCCGGAAAATCTTGTTTGGAGACCATTTGGCGCCCCTGTACGAGCGGCGCTCGGGGCATCATGCACCCCCTTGCCCCCCTCTCGCTACGCCACTGCCTTTTAGTGAGTTGAGATGAGAATTTTTTAACTGCTTGATTAATAATGTTGGGTGAAAAGCCCCTGTCAATAGCTATTGCTTTTAAATTATTTAGTTCTTCATCAAGGGCTAGTCTGGAGGAGCAAACTTGAAGAGTACGGAAAACATAGGTATAAAATAAAGCTAACTTTTGTTTAGTCGGATGACATGATTTAAAGTGTGGTGGAAGGCAAACCGATGAAGGTTTACGTTAAACCGTAGTACTGAAGTTGGATGTGTTACGTGTGACGAGAATGTCGAGAAACGGAAGAGAATTGCAAGTCTTAAGTTCAAAAGTGAACTGAATACCAGGATCAATAGAATTCACTGTTGAAAGAACTTTAAATCGTCTTTATTACCTTCAAACAGAGTAAAAGTATCGTCTACGTAGCGGAACCATGCCGGGAAGTTTAAAGTTTCAAACAATTTTGATTCATAATAATGCATGTAGATATCAGCCAGGATGGGACCGAGGGGTCTTCCCATGGCTAATCCCTCAGTTTGCTTGTAATATTTATTTTGGAAAGCAAAATGTGTTTGTTTCAAACAGAGATGAGAGAGAGAAATTAGCTCATCAATTTCGATGCAAGAGAAATGAAATTCGCGAAGAATTTTCAATATTTAACCTACTTCTGTTTTTGCTTAAAATAAATTTCATTTGTGAAAATATTTGCTCACATTTATAAGTGGACCCGAATGTGGACAAAATAGCAAAGGCAATTTTTTTTTAATGATGAAAACCTCGTAGGAAGTGTTGCCCAACATGTTGATATCATGAGAGAATAATTATCTTCTGTATTTTCGAAATCGTTCCGCAATTTCTTGAATTTATCCGTCCATAATGTTGAAATTTTAAAATCAATCATTTCTAAACTAAAATTGTCAATTCTTAGATATTCAAAATACTTCAAATTTATAATATTTTCTTCTATTTCATCGGGCTTTATTATAAATGTAAACATTTCTCCATGTTTCTTAAGACTTTGAAACCGACTTTCATATTCACTTTTAATGACCGAAATCCAAGTTTCGAACATATTTAGATTGCGTTCATCGATATTTTCTTTTTCATGTTCCCTTTTTAACAAGGGAAGGAAATGAAATTTTTCAGTTTTTATGTCAGTTTCAAATAATATCAATTTTGAAGTAAAACTCTTCCATTCCTCATACATTTTCAAAATTGTGTGGTTATTTCCTTGGAGTAGTACGTTGAAATCATTATAATGATTCATTATGTCTGTTAAACAAAAAGTCTTAAAAAAAAACAAAACTTAACAAAAGTCTTAAAAACCATTGTTTATCATTGAGTTCGAGATCATTTTCACCGATTTCGTGAAGAAATATTTGTATATCATCAAAACACTCTACAAATCTATTAAGAACTTTGCCCCGACTTAACAAACGCATTTCAGAATGTAATAACAAATCTCCATATTTCGATTCAATTTCCTCCAAAAAAGCTTTAAAGCGCCTGTGTATTAATGCTGATCGCGCTATTATCATGTTTACGATCTTAACAACTTTTTCCATTACATCCTTAAGTTGTTGTGTAGATGCCTTTGCAAATAAATTTTCTTCATGTATGATACAATGAAACGATAAAAGTGAACGGCCAAGTTCATTTTCCATTAGTTTTACAAATCCAACAGTTTTTCCTCTCATACTTGGAGCACCGTCAGTTGTTATGGAAAACAATTTACTTTTTAAATCCAATACTTGCCCATTTTTGAAATTTGTAAACTCTTGTACTTGACGAAAAATATCAGTGCCTTTGGTGGTGTCATTCACTGAAGCAAGAACGCATAGTTCTTCATTGACATTCGAGCTATTTATTGATGCAAATGTAATAATTATTGCAAGCCTACCAATACTATTTATGTCGGTACTTTCGTCAACTGCAATGCTAATTATGTCACAAGATAACAAATCATTTTTGACCTGTTCATCAATATTCTTGGCCATACCTTCAACGCGACGTTTACTCTAGAGAAGTAAGGAATAATTTAGTGATGGCAAAATGTTTGGAATTCAGGGAGGCGCCGGACAACAGACTTTAGGACCCGCAAAGATTGCACCAGAATGTCTATCACTGGCCTTGGCTTGTGCCTAAATTTTTGAATCTTAGAAATGTCATTTCTAGAGAGATTTTGAGTATCAGTATTAAGACAGTGATTCTATAGTTGATAATCTCTCTTTCAAAACAGCTATTTATTTAATAGATTCTAACACAAGTAAAAACCATCTGCTTAAGGAATGTCTTAAGAAAGAAAGAAGCTGTTTTCTTCTTACGAAGAGACTTCTACAATAAACATTCTCAATAAATTCATCGCAAAAGGCAGGGGCGTAGCTAGAGTGTCCAACGCCCAGGAACAATTGAAGAATTCGCGCCTCTTTCTGTGTGCCAAAAATGGAAAATATTTCATTAAAAAATTTCGTAGCATCAATTTGGCGCCCCTTGGATGCTGCGCCCGGGAACAGATGTCCCCCCTTCCCCTCCCTAGCTACGCCACTGGCAAAAGGCTTGATAAGATAAAATCACGAGGTCACAGGTTCGAATCCCTGCCAGGGCATTGCTCATTTTTCACATCTCTTGCTTCTACAAATTCTACAGTGGCACCCGAAGTAAAAGGTATTCGACCACCAGGATTTGTCAATTGGGTCCCTAATCTCCAGTCGCCCTTTAAAAGAATGAATATACATGATATAATCTCCCTTCTTCAAGCATGTCTTTGTGATGTAACGGTACCACACTCGGCGCGTATTCGACAGGTCCACTTTCGAGTTGCGACGAGAGCATTGCTCATTTTTCGTCTATACCTTCCCCCCCAAAAAAAACAATGAGTCTACAGTGGCATCCGAAATAAAAGGTACTGGGGATAATTTGTCACCACCAAGATTTGACATTTGGATCCCTAATCCCCAATCCTCCTTTAAATGAGGACAGTATGTAAGGTATTTTCTGCCTCTTTCCAGCAAGCCTTGTTGATGTAACGGTAGCAAACTCAGCGCGCATTCGAGGAGTGCAGTTTCAAATTCCGGCGACGGCAATGCACATTTTTTATGTCTCCTGTTTCAAAATAACCGAATAACTCTACAAATTCATTACTTTATTACTAAAGGAATAAAATGCTGCAGAATGATAATGTATGTCAATACATTGGTAATTGATAGTGTCAGTATGTTGGTTAATTTAATGTCGTTAAATGTTATTTTTTAGCGAGTAACGGAGAGTATTAATTTTACGAGAAATTAAAATCACCTGCCCATGTTTCTTTTAACATTATTGTCACCTTAATCCAGTGTACAGGCTCTAGAATATCTTGTATGGCTATCTATAATAAAATAAAGAATTAAAAAATAATTTTAAAATATCTCACAGTATCACAACCACACTGACTACAATAGGTAACACAATTAATTCCTTCATGAAACTTTTTAAATAGTTTATAAAACCTAGCTTCATTTGGCTAAAATGTTTTACAAAACATAGTAGAACTTCTATTAAATGAAGTATCTGTTAACTAAACTGGCAACCAATTTGAAGGAAAAACTGGGAAAACATAACAACATTAGAAAGAAGAAAGTAATAACGAGTAGTGGTTAAAAATCGGTTAACAATAAAGATAAGGTACATTAAAAAGTCAGAAACAAGTCTCTTACAAATGCATGCAAGAGAACAGGCAGAATTTGACAATTCACATAAATTTTGATGAAGTTCCTGTATTCGTTTTCTCATGAATATTTTTTTTTCTCAAAACAAAATCTTGCATGGATCATTCATTAAAAACATTTTATCTAGTGATAAAAGTGTTAGAATAATAAGAGCTGTACACTTAATTTTAAATCTTCAAATACATAGTTTAAGAGAACTTTGCACGATTTAAAATTCGCTTTGTACAGGGAAAAAAAAAAAAAAAAAAGATAGAGAGTTAGTTGCATGTTGATTTCAAAGGCCAAACAGCAAAATTAGCTATGTTTATTTTGGCTATCTACATGTTTAACAAGCAGCTACTATGAGAACATCCTTTACGAAAGCATCTTTTTGATGCTTTTTTGTACTAAATAACCAACATAATGAAATGTTGATGCATCCTTACTCTTCTACTTACATTTCTAAAAAATATGTAGAAATTATGAAATAGCTATTTAGGAAATAATGAAGCATTTACGACCTTCAAAGGAAACAAAATTCACAAAAAGAGCTCAATTCTTTCAATGCAAGTTGTTCAAACATTTCATTTCTTGACTAAATTTTAAAGATATTTTTTTGAATAATAAAGACAATTTTTTGTTCAGTTATAAAGTTCCATTTATTGAATTCTCACTAAACTGTCAAACAAAATCTTTTAGTTCTGAACAATCTGTCATTTTCTTCACTATTAGCAGCCATATTTTTCAGAGTTTAAATCATACTACAGATTTCAGACATGTTGTCACAATGAAATTGTTATTTCATAAACTCTCCATTGGAAAATTTTGCCTTTTGCTTTCAATATCCAAAAATCTTAAATTTTGTGGCTGTCGTCATCATCATCACCATAAAATATGGTAGATGGCCATAAATTAACTCAAGTATTAATATATATATATATATATGTATATATATGCAGACATATCCTCCCATGAATTTGCAATGTTCCCCATAACAGATTTTATGTTAAAGTATTTCAAAAATTTCTGAATCTGTCTTGCCACTCTTCAGAAAATTTAGCACAAAGGCTATTTTACATCTGCATTTTAGTGCATGCAGCGCTCTGATATCCATTCGTTGAATCATGAAGGTACAATGTGAAAGAAAGAACAGGACAACGACATCATCTTTTGATAAAATTTTAAGTGAAGTATGAACTCAACAGTTGTCTGTACTCAAGACAATTTTTGCATCATCCAGTAAACCAATTTCAAATGTTGCTGATCTTCATGTATGAAATGTTTCCAAACCACTCATTCATTAATGCTTGTGTAAGTTCTTTTGTTTTAATAAGATGACTGGGAAAGTCTTTAGTCCTTTAAATGCCCAAAGTTGTGTAGTTTTTTTCAGATTATGAAAAGTTTATTCTTGCATCATTTGTACAAGCCAAGCTCATTAACTTCTCTTTGGAACCTTTGCCACCCTTTGGGGATCTTTCTGCAGAGATTTCCGAAATATTTCAGAGCCCATGCTGCCAGTTTTCTCAATGTTATAAATTTATTCTGGAAATAACTTTTCACCATTTCATAATGAGTTAGATGAACTCATCAGGAATTTTAGGAGCTTCAGTATCAGTTAAAGCTTTTTTTACCTAAAATTTTTTTAACTGCCTTACTATGGTGATTTCTAAATTTAGTCAACCAACCTGTCAAATATGTACACCGCTCAGGGAAAAAAAAAAAAAAAAAAAAAAAGAGGGGGGGGGGGGGGACAGTTCTATATCTCCCGTTCTCTCTTACTGGGCCGATTCACGAAATTCAAATTGCGTTCCTCATGTCTCGAAAGCGCGACTCAGGATATATATTCGATTTATATATAGCACTATTCTAACATAGGTATTTTGACATAAAATCGAACTTTTTCTGAAATAACGTACCAATTTTTTTTACATATTTCGATTCTACGACTCAAATTATGCCTAAATATTATGTTATATTAAATTTCGTAAAATTTGGTGCGAAATTTACGGAGAAATTCAACAATTTATGTTGGCGCTTTTTATTCAGTTTGTGCCAAAATTAGTTTACTTGGCGAACTTCTTAATATGTGGCAACCTATTTTCATTTCCATTTTTACATAGTGCGTGAGAGGAAAAAAAGATTCAATCGTTCCTTCTTTCAAATAATGTTCTTTATCTTATATTTTTAATTATAATTGTTATTATAATTTTAAGCAATTTTTTCTTTTTCGAATTTATTTTAATTGTTTACGTTGCATAGTTTCTTTCGAATAACTGTTTTAAAAATTTCTATTTACTCATTCTAACTGCGTAGTTTAAATCAAAGGCGCATCGTTTATTTTATTTTCAAATAGTTTTCTTTATACTATATTTTTAGTCATAGTTACTATTTTAGGTAATTTATTTGAATTGCGTTTCTTTCGGAAGAATTCTTTGTAACCCAGACTACGATGCATTTGAAAACTGCATACTATATTAAAGGAGAAAATACAAATTTTCCAGAATTTGATTTTATTTATTTGAATTGCGTTTCTTTCGGAAGAATACTTTGTAATCTACACTACGATTCATTTGAAAACCGCATATATTAAAAGAGAAAATACAGTAAAGCACATTTAACACGCCTTTCAATGTTCCGTTCAGAAAAGATATACTACGTAAATAAGACAGATGTATAACCGATATTTTAACTTAGGATGACTTGTATGCACTGCTTTAAACAGTTTTATCATTGTGCCCATTGCTTTACACAATTTTATCCTACATTTGGTTTCTTAAAATGTTATTCATATTTTATTCAAATATTTTATTTTTGAAACCGTAAGAATCTAATATCATAAGATTAAAAAGTTTTAAATTAAAAAAAGTACAAATACTAAATTTTACGGAAAAATTTATTTTTTCTTCTCTTTTTCTTCATGCATTCTGCTTCATTCTTGCTCTTTTTCTTTAGGCATTCAGTAAGTATATTAAAAAGCATCCAACTTTTCGAAACATCTTGGTATTTCTGACTATCATTTTAAATAAAGTTATCGCCTTTCATTTCATAAAGGCCCACAAACGACCACAAACGAGTGGTAAAGTCGCTGAACACTGGTAGTTGACTCCGGGGTTCGAATCCCGGTAAACGGGCTGGTTGCATGGGCATTTTCGTGGATTTTCTCAAACGTGTGTAACGTGTATGCCAGCTGATTTTCCTTAGAAATTTCTTACGAAGGCATCCTTCCTTTTAGGCAGATAGCCCTGCTTTGCCATAACTTAATAATCCAATTCAATTCATTTCATCAGAGCCTTTATCAGTCTTCAGAGGCT